AGAGAGAGAGAGAGAGAGAGAAAGAGAGAGAGAGAGAGATGATTCAGTACGTGTTGCATTTTCATTCTGAATGATCTATTCTTTTCTTTTATTATTTGGCAGTAATAAAAGTATCCAAGACAATGCATAGCACCGATACTTTATGTAAATTTTGTTTCTGTTATAATCTCAAAAATGTTGTCTTTTCTTTTTTTTTACACTTGCATCGGCCTTTTTTATAACTCCTAAATTTTGTTTTTTTCTCTTTCTTTGTTTTGTTAAAACTTTAAAATAATTAATAAATATTTAATTAAAAAAAAGATAATTATAATTTAAGAATAAGTTAAAATGATATACTGATGTTGACGTAACAATAATTTTGAATAGCTAAAAAATGTGTTGGATTTTGGATGCAAGTGTGAATATCCTGTATATGTCTTACCATTTATAGAAATACTATAAACATGGAAAAACTTGCTTAACTTCAAAATAATTACCTCTTGTCATTTATTAATGGTATTCTCATACTGTCTTTACAGAATATTTTCGCTTACTTGGCGAAAGAATAGGAGGATAACGGTGAGTGAAAATCGTGGTACAGAAAGACCTTGTATTTATATAGAACATTTAAAATACTTTTTAAATTCTTATTTTTGTATACGTCGATCATTCTACTTATGGACACATCTTCTTTTTCTTCTTTTATTTCTTTCTTTCCTTCCGTTTTTTTCCATTACCCCTTATCGCAGATTTAATTTTTGTATTTACTCACATACATGTATCACGTTGTTCGCTCAAACAATACACTGTTTCATTATCATCGTTAGGCGTGTGTATGTCAGCGGAAATGAAATAATGAATAGCATTTCGCTTGAGTTATAAAAAGTCAAATACGACAGGCTCACGAAAAATTATCGCCTGCTGTGTCCAATTTCACTTTTTTTTGTGGGGAACTTACTTGCGAACGTATATCCGAACCAGGTCGTTTGACCTGTGGATTGCTTTTTACGGCGGTAGCTGGATCTGCTAATAAAATA